GGTAATGCAACTATTTGGACGACCTTTGATTTAATCAGGCTTGCCATGAAAACAGAAATATTCTTTTGTGCACTGTTCCCCAGTTTGAGTTTATCTCTTTATGGTAATGAGATATATTTGAACAGCAAGATATATTGAACACCTTAGGGCATCACAGCAAAGGGCACATGACAAAAGCTTGCCACGGCACTGGTTAATAAATGATTTGGTAAGGTAACATTGTGAGAGGGTGCAAAGCTGATGTCCTTGCTTGAAACCTCAGTGAAGTAATAGTTGCAGAATTCTGTCATTATTCTCTATTTTCACTTGTTAGGATTTTAAAGGGGAACCTTCCTATGCTCCCACTTTTTAATTAGTGCAGACTAATGAATTCTTGCATCATCTATGGCCTGAGTCTAGAATTCATAAGATGACTGAGGTATAGACTACATTATCTGTGTGTGATGTGTCCGATATAAGTTATAGTTCTATGCTAATCACAGAGTATATTTAAGTCTTTCTGTCTGGCTGCAGTGGGGATGGACCTCGGCTGTTATGCATATGAAGTTATTGTTTGCCACTGAGCTACTGCTCCAGCCCTCTACACCTTTCCCCAACCTAAATCCAGCACCAATCTCCCTTAATTTTGAATAAAGGAAGCCAAGTTGAAGCAGAAAAGTGCTCTGAAATAGAACCTCGCCTGTCCTATAAAGAAAGAAAATGCAGTTTTGGTTAGAAAGTGGTCCATTACTACTGGTTTTTTTTTCTTCAAAGACATAAACATTATGAAAGTCAGAAAAGCATGAGAAAATATTCTCAGCAAAGAAGATCACAGGACTATGACAATTTTGTAATATAATGGGGGATCCTAAGGGACACACAGTGTCTTTGGCAGTGCTCACTGACATCTTAGGGGCAAAGGGGCATTACATCTGCACTCATCTCATGGTTCTGGGTGTTCTAAGAAAGCAAATGTAGGGGCTGAAGAGATGTCTCAGTTGTTGAGAGCACTGGCTGCTCTTCCAGAGAACCTAGGTTGATTCCAAGCACCCACATAAGAGTTCACAAGCATCTGTGACATCAGTTCCAGGGAATCTGGCACCCCCTTCTGCTATCTGTTGGCCCCAGTCTCTATCTCTGTCTCTCTCTCATACACACACACACACACACAGACACACACACACACACACACACACACACACACACACACACAGAGGCACAGGCATGGAGGCAAAAACACTAATACACATAAACAAAAAAAAATTCTTTTTAAGAAAGAAAGCAGATATGCCTAACCGTCAATCATGGATGAAGGGTGGGTAAGGGCTTAAGCAACTTTTCTGTAAGTTTCAAATGATATAAAATAAAAGTTAGCCAGAGGGAAAAATTTTAAGGAATTTTAAAATACTTTCCTTGTTAGAAAAAAAAAAGCCAAAATAAAAGGGCAAAAACTACACTAGAGGCTTGAGAATTTCAAAGCCCCAGATCTTCAATTTCTTTTCATGGCTCTGAGTACTTGAGATAAAGTGCGTCTCTTTTCATTAGGGAATTAGCCTGCTAGTCAAGGAAATCTATTATACATTATTAGTTTAAATTCCCCAGCTGGATGAAAATCCCTCAAAGGCACATGCACACATGTAGGAAAACTCACACAGATAATATCGTGAGATGATATCCAGGTGGAGTCCTAGCCTTGAACCCAACCAACCAACCACCTTTTTGACGAAAGGGGGGCTGGGTGTGAACCAAAAATAAGCTCTGAAATATGATCCACCTTAAAAGAAAATGGGAACATGATTTATTGGATATGGCATTATAGAATGGTGACCCCAAAGGGAACTCTGATAAGTGACTTAAGTTACATTCTCTTAACTGGATATACACACTCCAATAAGTCCAACGAATCAACAGGAATTTAAAATAAAAAAACCAAACAAACCCAGGAGCAGGTGTGCTGGCTTACCTGTCACCAGGCCAGACATGCATTTAGGGTGGCTTGGAGCCAGTACATGATTGGCTCAAAGCACACTGCCCCACACGTCTACATAGTGACCGACCATTCCTCCACACCCACACCTCCCATTTCTTTGTTCTTGTTCTTGCTTCCAAGGAGTATTGTTTAAGAGGGAAAAAAATTAAAAGCTGTTCTGGGACTTGAAATTAAATAGTCAGAAGTTAAACTTGCCATCTGGGGCCCGAAGAAATGGCTTAATGGGCAAACCACTGCCATGCCAGTGAGGACCTCAGTTCAGATTCCCCAGCACTGTAGAGATGGGAGTACTAGTCGAACCACAGTTCATTTACAGCTAGATAGGAGATAGGGGCAAGAAAATCCCTACAAGCTTGCAAGCCAGCTAGCCCAGCATATGCAGCAAGAGACCCTGTTTCAAACAAGGTGGGAGGCGGGAACTGATGTCT